GTTGCACAGTTTTAGAGGAGGGCTATTTTGGGGGGCAAATACATTTGGAAATTTCAGTTAACTCAGAAATTTAAATCTACTGTAGATTTATCTGGGTTTAAAATGTGCAGTTGCTGATTCAGTAGTAGAACAATGTTTAGAAGATATATATAGCAGAGGATATATAGGTGAAAGTTGAAATCAGTAAGGCATGAGCACATGTGTAAAGGCATTTTGCATTTGATTCTAGTGAATCTAACAGGATATATGTGGACTGGGCACTAAAAAGCGTTGATGGTAACATTAAAAATGATCATTCAGACAAAACAAGCATAGAATGAGTTACTAACTGCAATTACAAATAGTAGTGAATTAATATTTCAAACCCTTGATCAAGAGTTAGTTCTACTAAGCTTCACAGGAACAAAACCCAAGATGTGAATGCTGCAGGTGTGATGTCCTTTCACTGAGGCAGGCTTGGAGCTGACAAAGCATGAAGGATGTACTTGGCATTTTGAGATTCAGTAAAGCAATTTAGCATGTCTGCTATCTTCTTAAGCCCTCTGGTAAACTGGTCTTTGAGATTTTGGCAGTGGGTTTGCTGTGCGCATAGTACGGAGTACCTTGTCACTGGATGATAAATATTTTTGGAAAGTCAGTAGAGTGTGTGTCAATGGTCTGAATGTCATTTAATTTTAAAAAAGCATTTTAATTTTTTTTTATTTTACTTTATTTGGCCATGTTTAGGGATCTTGACAGTTTCTCAGTGGCATAAATAAAATATCTAAGAAATACGTCCTGTTTATAGACAAACATTTGCCCAAACCTAATCACTGAAAAAAAAAAAAGAATCTGCAGGAATATGATCTCTTGTTAGAAACGGAAATAGAGTATGTTATGCTACTGTACTCCAAAAATAATTCTAGTTGTTTACATATGTTCTGTGACTAGAGGAATAAAAAAAATTGCAGGATGAGAAATATATGAAGAAGAGACCAAAGGACTGAGGGATAAAAATAAAAGGCTGGCTACCTGCCAGAGTTGTAATGAATTGCCAAAATCAAAGCCCTATCGGTCTGAGGGCCTTTGGTGGGAAATTTTAATGAGATGGAAAATTAAGGCAAGACAAAATAATTTTAGCAGGTTATTTAATTATGTAGTAATAATTATTTTATGTTCATAATTCCAGTTTCTATAATACATCTGTGATTGACTTTCTTTTCAAACAAAAGTGGTCACATCTTTCTCTGTTACCTGTTTTCCATTGTTTTATGTGGTAACATTCTCCATGTCTAACA